AGAATAAATGGGAAGTATGAAAGGAGGTAGAAAATGCTAAGTGTCAATAGTTTAGCTGGCTATGGAAGGAAACAGTGATAGGATTGTACCAGTTGAAGGCAGAATTTGGCTAAAATGGAAGGTGCCAGAGCATATTTATATCCTGTGTGGAAATATCCTGTGTGACAAGGAGAAGCTACAACATCAGAGAACAAAGAGATAACCAGTGATGAGACCCTGGAGGTCAAAGAGAAACACTAAACTTTATCTTTGCTGGGAAATTTTTGGACTCATTCATTCCTATTCACTGGGAAATTCTCTCTATACCCCTCTCCTCCTTACCTCATGCTCCTCAGTCTCTCTCCACACCCCCAACCACCCTGTAGCCTCTGACACATTTCTTTTTCTTTCTCTTTCTCTTCTTCCTCCTCTACCACTACCACCACTTCCTCCTCCTCCCCCCTTCTCCTCTCTCTTCTCCTCCTCCCCCTTCTCTTCCTTCTCCTCCTCCTCCTTCTTCCTTCTCTTGTTTTCTCTCCTCTCCTTCTTTTCCCTAGTTCTGGGGATGGAGCCTATGGCCTTGTGCATGTTATGCAAGTGCTCTACTACTGAGATAAATCCCAGCCCACATGTGCTCTTATCTATATTCCAACCTGGAAAGTCTCATTCCTACCCCAGTATTCTGAATCTATGAGGAATTAGAAATTCAAATCATTTTATATTCTTGGACATGTTTTCATTTCACTAAACTTATTCTTTCCTCACATTATAAATCAAAACTATTCATTTACCTTGAACACATTCAAGTAATAGATCTTGATGCATACACTAAAATCCCTAGGAAGACCCCAGTTGTTGCCCATCAACCAGCCCTCCCTGTAAATTAATGAGAATGCCAAGAGAAATTGAATAACCCTATTGAAGCAAATAACCTGAATATGAAGCTCACATATTGTCAAAATACAATAAACATTTTTATGGTTGTGAGTCATATGAGAACATTTTTGGGGACTATGTATGTGAGGTATCCACCATCATGTGCTAAAATAGTTAATACATTTAAATTATCTGAGACAAGGAAGACCAGGGTCTCCTCCATAGCTATCTTGATTGTGCCCTGAATGTCTCTAGAAGGCACAATCAGATTGAAATCTATGGAAATGACACCTCACACACACTCAGCCTCTCAACCCCTGGGGTTTTTTTCAAGGTGGGATTGGAGCTGGAGCTATACACATCAGTCATGATGAGACCCCTTTAATTTTACTATACAATATGTTTTAGAACAGAGAAAAAAATTAAACTTGTAATCACGTTCCCTTTTGAAGAAGTCCATTAAACTTCATTTTAAAAACATATTCACAAATGGAAGCTGGATTTGGAGTGCATTTAATTGTCTACCTCCTATTCCCAGTAGATTTCACTTCTAATATATGGTTTAAAACAAAGCTATCCAATGTATAGTTGGTTCTAAAATTACAAAGAAAAACTGCCATGACCATTGCTCTTTATCATTTCTGAAAGTGACTATGTATTTTTCTGCCAAGTTTTCTTAACAGTTGTAATTTGTAGGTAGGTGGCTCTATGCCAAGATCTAGATGTATAAACACTAGATGAATAAACACTGTTAAGACCTTTGAAGCATTTTCCCAGCTGATGGTATGAACTTTGAGAAGAAATGACATAGCATGGTATGAGCAAGTAAAAGCAAAGACATCAGCAATTGACATTAAGATTTTGATAAATCACTGAAGAATGACAGGTAGAATCTAAAAGAATGCAGTTTGGTTCTTTTGATACCCCCATTTGCTCAAACATAGTATGTCATGTTACAGTAATACTAAATACTTCACAAATACCCAGGTAAGCATTAATAAAAGCAGCAAATGTCCTTGTTTTTGAAAGGTTTGCTTGTATACTATATGAAAGTGGAAAAATTCCCTTAAAAAATGTAAGTCGGTATTCTAAATGGCAAGTTCTCTTATTTAAATTTGTCTTGTCCAAAATCATATTTCTTTTTTTTTTTTT